TTTTGTTATTTTAAATATTTTCGTAAGTTTTGGACTGATTTACATTTTTAAAAAAGTTTAGGAGTAAGATTGCAATTTATTCTTTATTTTTCTTTTCTTTTTCTTATGATATATATGATTAGGAGAGTAACATCGTCAGAGCATTATGAAAAGGACCTTCGGAGCAGGAAACGTTGAAGGTAAATTATGTCAAAAATTGGGGAAAATGAAGTTTTGTTAAAAAAAAGTGAAAGGTAGGAATGTTCTGCGCTAAAAAACGAAATATTGGGACGTTTTTCACAAAAATCGGCAAAGGTAGGGACTTTAATTTTGCTCCAATTACCCTTAGTTGAAGTAATGGTTGACAATTGTGAAAGCATGTTTGGTAGGTATACTGCGACCTTAATAAAGTAGAACATAGTTTTTTTAAATACAAGTTAGGTTTTCTACAACAATCCAAATTCAAATCGAAACATATTGTATTGATATCCAAGTTTTAGTTAGAATTTCATTGAAATATTTTTTTAAAAAATCAGTTATAATAGCCCGACATCAATTTATCATCGTATCTAATCAAGACATTAACTAAGGCCGTGATTATTTAATCAAAGTCCCCTGTTTGAGCCACAATAAAATTCTCATTTTCAACCATACATTCTTCAATAAAATAAGATTTTACATCACATCAATAATTTTTCCTTCTTTTTCAACCACACATTTTCCATCATTCTACTATTTCAAAATACATTTTTCCAAAATAATGTAGTTTAAACACACCAAATTTGACTTCATTTAGCAGAGGATCTCAAAAGTTAAAAAAAAAAAAGAATTTATTTCAAAAAAAAAAAAAACCAGTTTCACCAAAACCGGACTGCACAATCGGCCTGCATAGATCTCCTAGAAAATGTTATCGGTCCAAGCCAACTTGGAGTAATTCTGTCTGGGGTGGCGACAAAATCAAGTCTCAAGCATTATGCTTTGACGTAATAAAATATTTTTCTATTTATAATTTTACTTGTGTTATTCAAAGTCAATTAAGAAGTATTTTAGTGATCAATATTTTAATTATTTTTCTAAAACCATCAATATTTATTTATTTGGTTTATTTAACCTTAAAATTTCTTTAAAAATTGGACAAAAAAATAAAAATAAAAATAAAAATAAAAAGGTGCGTACATTTTGGTGTTTGAGGTCCACATTTTGGTTATTAGACTCATATTTAGGTGACTAGGCCCACGTCTTGTCCTTAGGCTGGGGTCTGGTGATAAAAGTAGAGTTGATCATATTTTCCGGGCCTTTTCTCACTTTATAGAACACTAGCAAGACATGTGCAACGCACGTATCATAATATAAGTGGCTATATGATAGTATAAATATAAAAAAATAAAAAATATATATATATATATATCGCTGGGGTCTGGTGATAAAAATAGAGTTGATCATATTTTTCGG